TTAATGGTAACCAACAGCTCCTTAATTGAACTTAATACCTTTTCAACAACATGGAAATCCTGCCTGAAACTAGAAATCTAGCCAAGTACTCAGGGCAAGAGAAATCATAGATCTTGGAGTATTACATTTCTATCAAATTTCTAGGTAATCACATGTATTACACTAATAAATAATATTCTGAAATAGTAAATTATTTTCTTAGAGTTAATATATGAAGTAGCTCAGAGATTATAAATATTCACATGGAAAAGATTTTCAAAGGTAAGGACTATAATTTTAAATAAAGTGTTTGAAATATTTATTTAAAATTAATTTTGTTATGCTCCTAGGTATTGAAATGTATATGATTTCTAAAAGTTTATTTTGTTCCTATTGAGAGCACTCATAACATGATAATGAGTTTCTAAAATAGTCATGTCAATATGATTTCACCTCCTAAGATCTAGTAATTATTTTCTATTTTACTTAAAATTTATGTTTGTATGTTATTTAAGTAAAAGGTTTTGTGTATTAGTAATATTTCTGTAAGAACTAATGAGAATCCAATTAAAACTAATGAAAAACTCAGTCTATAAGGAAATTTATTATGTTATGTTGCATTATACCATCTAAATACTCAGCTGTAGATGGTTAGGTTTAATTTGTCCCATTCTTCTTTTGAGTTGTTTCAAGGTTTGTGTAATAGGAGAAAACAATGATTTGACAAAACGTCAAGATAGTGGACATTTTCCATTCAAAGAGCACAGTTCCTCTGTGTAACAGGATCTTATGAGATGAGGTCTTTCTCTGACTTTGAACCTGGCAGTCTTTGTTGTTGTTGTTGTTTTTATAGTTTTGATGTCTGTCCTGGATCTTTCTTTGTATACCAGGCTGGCCTCAAACTCACAGAGATCCGTCTGGCTCTGCCTCCTGAGTGCTGGGACTAAAGGTGTGAGCCTCTACTGCCCTGGCCTGACAGTCTGACTATTGAGCTCAGTGTTCTTCCTGACATCTCCTTTAACACCTCCCCAGGGCTGTGATTTCAGATTGGATCACCATGTCCGATTTTTATATATAATCTGAGGATCCAAAATAATTTCTTCAGGCCTGTGCATTAAGCTTACTGAGACATCACTTTGGCCCCTACATGTAATTTTATTTTCTCTTTGAGCATTTGTGTGATTTCTGAATAACTGAAAAAAACATAATTTTATTTTATGTGCATTTTTGTTTTATAAGATAATTGCATTTTTATATTAAAATATGCAGGAGAAGTTTAGAAATTATGAACCCTACCTTTTCTCTAACAAGTCAAACCCAACAGATATTTCAAAGTTTTAAAAGTGGCCCCATCTACCTCTAAAATCTGCTGTGGGATGGTCTCTATGTCAAATATGTTGCTCTGGTCAATAAATAAAACACTGATTGGCCAGTGGCCAGGCAGTAAGTATAGGTGGGACTAACAGAGAGGAGAATCAAGGGAACAGAAGGGAAAGGGAGTCACTTCCAGCTGCTGCCATGACAAACAGCATGTGAAGATGCCGGTAAGCCACGAGCCACATGGCAAGGTATAGATTTATAGAAATGGATTAATTTAAGCTATAAGAACAGTTAGCAAGAAGCCTGCCACAGCTATACAGTTTGTAAGCAATATAAGTCTCTGTGTTTACTTGGTTGGGTCAGAGCGGCTGTGGGACTGGCAGGTGACAATGATTTGTCCTGACTGTGGGCAAGGCAGGAAAACTCCAGCTACAAACATCAGTACTTAAAAAATTACTTGTTGTTAATTTAGCTAAGATACATTACAGTCAATTGCTATATTATACAAATTCTCTAAGTGTTGCAAATATCCTGGCAGTTTCCAAGAGGTAGTACACAATGTGCTCAGTATTCTGTCTAGGCAGTTTTAAAACAAAACCTGGCCTTGTACCCCTGCAAAACTGAATATGATAAGCACAGTTTTCCCTCCAACACATTACTCTTAAGTGTTTTTAATCCATTCCTCCCTACTCCTTTTCTGTATGTTTACCTATTTATGTGGAATCTAGATGCTAGGTTGGTAGACATTACTGAAAAAAAATGCATATGGTATTCTATGTCCTACCTAGTCTAAAACCTAAATAGTAAGAATTACAAAATATCCTAGAAATTGATCATGGCCTATGAAAATTACAACCTCGAAATATGTCCTAGTAAATAATCCTATTAATTTAATGAGTATACTTGCCTATAAAGTTTATAAATATTCATAGTTGTACAACTTCTAAATCAATATGACCTTGTAATCAAGGTAAAGTTTCCTTCTATCGAATATGCTGCATCTAATTGGACAGTATGCTAAATCAATTATGCATGACTACAACAGCTCTATCATTTAGAGTCTGCCTGTTATTTCATTCCCTAACAGAATATGGTTATGCTCTTCTGGTGTACTTCTCTAGGCCTGGGACACAGAGCAAAATGGTCAAGATTCTACCCTGGAGCTGACATGCCTTTCCTCTATAGCAATGCCAATATGAGTAAAGACCTCTCATCCCTGGATTCTCTCATCTGTCCATATCTTCCAGCTCTTCATCGTGTAATCAAATGGAACGTAGCAACCATTCTTGTTATTTCAATTATTTTAATTTACACGGGAGCTTGTGACTGTACATGACAGAAAGGAAAGCAACATAAATACACTACAGTATGATGTATTTGCATCTCAGGAGTCTTCATTGACTCATAGAAGAATGTTGTCCACACATTCCATGTGACTGCACATTCTCCACCTAAGAAATAAGACTACTCTGCTTGGGTAAGTGCCAAGCAATAACTTTACAAGTAAGACCCTACACAGAAGGCTGTTTCATGGTCTGTTTGTAAGCAATCAAATGCATCATCAAGTAGATTAGCCAGAAACTTCTGTTGCTCACAGAATAAAGTAAAACTAATTTAGACAGCTCCTTTCATTTATTTTAATTTTATGTTTGCTTGTTTGTTTGATGCAAACTGATCAATAAAGAGAAAGCTCAGGGCTGGATACTGAACTAAGGTCCTCTTCAAGAGGAGAATAAACTCTGAACCCATGAGACAACTCTCCATTCCCCATTCGTTGGCTTTTTAAGTAAGATCAGACACAGGATATATCAACATAAAAAATTCAACTACTTTGCAAATACATTTTGAAAATTTAACTTGTGTGTTTTGTGTGTATTTATTTTTGTGCATATGTGTACATGTGTTCACTAACATCAATTTTGAGACAAGGACTTTCACTGATTCCAGAACTTAAAATGGAGCACTCCAAGTGCAGATGTTAGCCTGTTAACTACTGCATCAGTGTCATAGTCGCAGATGCATGCTACCAAGCCTGGCTCTTTTGGAGGGTAGCAGCATTCAAATCCAAGTTCTCTTGCTTGCTCAGGTGGAATGTAACTAACTGAGCCATCCCTATATAACCTGGAAACCATATTTTTATGAATTAGTCATGTCAGGAAATTTCACAAGCAAACTATTCTTCTTATATTTAGTATTTAATTCTAATTTATACACCTTTTTCTTTTTAAAGTACAATAAAAATGTATGAAATTGAAGACTTTCAAAGCATATTAAATATTCAAAAAACAGAATGCATATACTATTTAGTAAATCCTCTAATGTAAGCTGGAATTGCGCATATCCAATATACAGCTACTTGATTTTTCCACATTTTTTCTCAGCTTCTAAAAGACATATTTTGCATCATGATCATATATTTTACAATGCTGTCTATTAAATTAGACATCAATGATGTCAAATAAAAATGTTCTTTCAATTTTAGTAAAATGTCTATTTTACATGGACCAGATTCATTTTAAGACTATAACTATTTACCAGCATTGACACTATTTATTATGAATTTATACTGTAACTATAAAATGATAGTTTTCCTTTTCAAGTTGAGGCCTACTTATTTGATGAAACTGAGTCTGTACATATTATGGATCAATACACTTCTCTCCACACTTGTTAGTCATTGATCAACACTTTCTACGCAATTCTTCCCAAAGATGTTGTGATGAATTAGCTGTCAAACTTGAGATTTTTTTTCACTTGAGTAGTTCTGCTCCACCATGTCCTATCATGTCATATCAAATACGTCTCAGTCTAAATGTCCTTGTCTTTGATACCATCACCAAATTCAAACTTACCTAAGATGAATTCTTTCATTAGTTTGCTTAGGATAAATATTTCATTTAAATACCACATATTCTCACAGAACTTCTTCTAAATATTTGCTAAATTATTTATGCTAATGAAATATCTTTTTATGGTATAGCAGTGACATGTCTTTGAATAACATATGTAAGAAAAACTAGTGGTAAAGTAAACTATAGGGTTAAGGAAACACTGCCTCACCTGTCATAATTTTATTACAAATACATACTTTCTTGATATTTTTACAAACCTGTGAATTATTTTGAAATTGAAGGACAAGAAATCACAGTGAGAAATACGGGACACTGACTTTTATTTATTAAATATATGTTTGTTTATTAGTTATAGATAAGGTCCCACTTTGAAGTCCAGACTAGCTTTAAGTTTATAGCAATCCTCTTTCCCTGGCTTCTTTTGCTTGGGATTCGAAGCGTGAGACACCATGACTGGAAACGATCTCTTAAATTTATAACATGCATTAAATATCTGAGTGGAATATCTTAGTATTCTACCAAATTAAGTTTTATAAAATTTTATCAATTTTAGTAATGTTGTTTTGAAAATAATGTGATCTTCTTGCCATCACAAACCCTGTCATTGATATGACTTCAAGAGCAGTGTGTATGGAACACAAGTAAAGATAATGATGTGAATCCATTCTCTTAATTTGTGACCTTGACCATATATATTATAGGACTCTGAATAAAGGATTTTTTCTTAAAATAATTCATCATATTTCTTTCTTAGTTCGTCTTTTTGCTTAAAAATAGATATTAGTAGATATTAACCTTTCCACTTAAATATTAAGAAAACTATCAACATCTTCTTTTCTTTCCTCATAGGATCTGGAAGAGCATCACCGAGACTAATTTAGCAGATAACCAGCTAATATAAGTTGAATTGCTGTTTATCTATTTGGTAATCTCATAATCTATGTTATATTGATGGATGTTGTTTCTGCTACCTTCCATAAAATTTTAAATAAGCAACAAATTTTTGACTCTGACTTTTCTATTGTGTTTATTTGTATTTCCCTAGTTGTCACAGAACACCTGAAAGACTGGTCTACACAGTACTCATAGGCTTCAAAATAAAATTTTTTAAGGCTTAGCTTTCCTTTATAGCATCGTCCTAGACAGACTATTATCCCTTTTGACCTAAAAGTATACACGATCATTTATTTTTGTTCTATTTATAATGATTCTTAAGCTTTATACTACTATTTATGTACTGATATCACATAAAGTTTATATTTCTAATTTCACTTCGGTATTTGAGATTATCTCAAAGGTGTCCCACTATAATCTTCAATTGTTCAAGAAAACAAGAGTTTTGCATTAAAAGCTCTACCCTCTCTTTTTATATTCTTGCTTTCTGATAACCACCTAAACGTACCCTAAAAATATCAGCCTTTCAAATCAGATCTTGTCACCAGCTCTTATGTTCCTTCATGCTGTAAAACCTGATCAAATTGTATAGTTTCTGTTTCCACACACAGCATCACGTAGTTATTTCATTTTTCACTATTATTTTTATCCCTGTATAATTTGTGACCCCTTTTCATTCCTTTCCTATCTAAGCATATCTCATTAGTTCTGCTCTGCCAGTGTCTTAGCAGGTCTGCACTGCACCTTTCTTTCAACACATGAAAATGTCCTAGCTTAAAAATAGAGTTTAGTTTTCAAAATCATGGACATGATCATGTTAAACCCTGATCAATAAACTCAGTGATTTTTCTGTTGCGTTCCAAGTTACTATGAAAGCCTTACATTGGCTAATCTAAGTCCATATAATTGAGTCATTTTACTTCGTCCTATTTGTCTCCAAATACATCTTTATTCTATATTAGTTGCTCATATTTTTTCTCTCCCTCTCTCACAGTAAACACACACACATGCACGCGCGCGCACACACACACACAGAGAGAGAGAGAGAGAGAGAGAGAGAGAGAGAGAGAGAGAGAGAGAGAGGGAGGGAGGGAGGGAGGGAGGGAGGGA